CCGGAGGGTGAGGGGCGCGGGGGCGAGTCCGGTGACGACGAGAAGGGCGACTCCAAGGAAACGCGGCTCACCCTCATGGAGGAGGTGCTGCTCCTGGGCCTCAAGGACCGTGAGGTGCGGCCGGGGCCGTGGCGGCGGGGCTGGGGCGGGCCGAGGTGAGGGGCGCTGGGCAGGGGGTGGCTGAGGAGGCCCGGTGGTGCTGGGAGAGGGGCAGGAACGGGGTGCCTGAGGGGATACCGGCTATTCGGGGGCTTATGGAGGGCGTTGATGGGGAAGGGGAGCCTCGCTGCTAGGGTATGGGTGGGATGGGAGCAAGGGCTCTGCAGGGTGAGAGTTGCCGCGGGTTTGAGGCAGAGGCGTTGCTGGGGACGGGGACTGTGATGTTGCTGGGAGTAGGGGCGCATGCTGGAACGGGCTCGGTGTTTTGGAGGAGGTGGGGAAGGTGCTTGGATTTTAGGGAGGGGCAGCCTGGCAGAGAGTTTGGTTCGCCCTTTGGATGCGGGGTTCACAGAGGGGCTCTCATATTTGTAGTGTCTCAAAGAGGGCTGCGTAAGGGTTGGGACAAGACAGGGACCTGGAGGTGAGGGCCAGGGCCTCTGGTCAGCGTTGGTGGTTGACTTGGAGGCCTGGGTAGACCTGTGATGCTTACTTCACCTACAACTTAACATGGCTGTAATGTGGAAGACTTGTCTACTCCTATGTATTTTGTCAGACACGACTCTGTGGTACTTACGAGGTTCTTAGGTGCTTTAGGATGCTTAGTAGCCCTTTCTACTAAGACTTTCCAGACTAATGCATGTGAAAAATGTCTTAAAGTTGGGGAAATACATATGACAAAAATGGGCCTTGAGTAATGAGAAGTGTGTCAAAATGAGGAAATGGCATTATTATATAATTCTGTGTTTTTACTGAATTTATAGCTTAATTGTTTGTCATGATACTGTGAATAAGTCATTGAGGAAGGTGTACTTCTACCAACGTGTCAGATTTTTGTTTCATTTGAAAGAGGTAATCAATATAAAAAGCATGCACACTGAAGATAGACAGTCCTGTTGGGTAAACAGTTTAATTTGATGTGGTGTATGGTGAAGTGTAATACACCTTTATTTTAGATATGAGTTATAATATGGATTTAATTAAGCAACCTGCCTTTTTTTTGTGGTAAGTAAATTAATGAAGCCAGTTCATTGATTTGGGTGGAAGTCTCTTAAAACTGTGCATGCTCATGAAGACAGAATAATGAGGGAGGGAAGCTGATGAGTTATATGTTCTTTAACAGTGCATTGCATCCAAAATAAATTTGCTGGTTGATAATAAATAGGTTAAAGAATCGTTTTCCTGGTTAACATTCATTTTTTTAATGCATGTGGGTATATCTGTGTGTTTATCTGCTGCAATAACATATTTTATTTCTCTCTCACATTGTGTATTTTAGGCCATATTCTTGTAATCCCATTTTTTCAGATGGACCTTGCCACAGCATCCTGATAAACTCAGTAGATATTCACAGTGATGCATGCTTCCACCTGTTGAATTGAAGACTTGTGCATATGTGCATTTCTCTTTCTACACACCTGAATAGTTGTGGAAAAGTGAGTTAGGTGTGACAAGACAGATATCTGGCAGGATTGCCTAGGAGGTCTTGCCTTGAGGAAGGTGGGATAAACTGGGTGATCTTTCAGCTCTTTTTTTTTTTTTTCCAGGATTGTGTGCTAAATCTGCTAATTTGCGGGCCTTAGGCTGTAAAGATTTCAAGGTAGGGAGCATTCTGGCTGCCTAGAGAGAATACATGATGCAAGTCTTCCTACTAAGGAAAAGTTAACACTGAGCCTAGAAATCCAGCTTTGTGCTGGTGTGCATCAAAATTATAAATCATCTAACTTTGCTAAGTGCAGCAGTGGCACACACCGCAGATAATCTAATATTCCTTTGTATGGAAAAAGGAACTGAGTGATTACAGTGGCATGGATATCCATAACTCCCTTGGGATTTTGCAGTTGAGACATCGGACAAAAAGAATGATAATGTCATCTCTAGGGTGGGGGGCTTATGTGCAGAAACTGTAGCATACACTGTTTCTGAGCGTTGTTAGACATGAATCACTAGGGTTTGTATTTTGGTTTTGGGTCTGCTTGTACCCCTATATATGAGCTACATTATGTAAACCACTTTGTCTTCATGTTTTTTTCCTTATAAAACTGGAATTAAAACTATAGACTCATTCTCAAAGATGACTTTTTTTTTGTTCTCTATTGTTCTAATGATAAGTAAGCAAAACTTATTTACTTTACACATCTGGAAACGCTTTTTATAAAGTTTTTACTTCCAGTAGAATTGATTTCCCGTGACATTTGTGTGAGACTTTCTCATGACAGCAAGCGGAGAAAAGCAATACAGCGTCTGTAAAGTATAATCATATAACTGCTCAGAGTGTAAGGGAAAGGCAAAGGCAGGCGTGTGAGCTATAAGCTCAATTGAAAGCCAGTAAATTCAAAGCTGATAATGTCCTTCCTGTTTATTCCAACAGGATAAAATAATTTAATGTTGAGTTTAAAATAAATAAAAAATGTACAAAAAAGGAGTCTGAATTGGCCAAAGAACATGTTTCCTTAAAAAATAGCTTCTCTCTCAGAAAAGTCACTGATAACCTGAAAGCTAAGTTACCAATGCAGTTTTGGGGTAATTTTTTTTTCTGATGTTAAACACTGGTGAATATGGCTTAATACCTTGTAAATTGTATACAAAACGCTTCATGCGTAAGGAGCTACCATTTATAACTTGTAAGTGTAGATGACAGAGCCTTTACTCTTAGGAGAGAGTTTTTCAGGAAGGTTTAGGCCATGATGGATTGATGAGTTCAATGTTTCTAGGAGATTGTTAGGTATTTATGTGAATCCTGCTTTCAGGATAGTGCGGTGATTGTAACAACCACAGCAAAACTTTTGAGTTGCTGCCTGGTTGTCGCTGCAGTATGGGTTCAGTGATGGGAATGTCTGGCTGCCCTAAAACAAATGCAGCATGCCTCAATCCCATTCTTAATGCTTGAACACAATTAACTGCATTCGCACATGCTTCCTGGATGTGGCCTTTCCCCCCACCCCACCCCCCTTTGGCCTAATTAAACTGTACTGGCTGTGTGTGTACTGCTTGGTCCTTTCCACCAATGGGTCCTCTTCCGTTTGTGTTTTCTGTGTACACATAACTTTCTCTATTCCAAGGTCAAGATAGGTTATAAGGGATATGTGCTGAAATACGTGCATGCTTGCATAACAGGACAGATGCAGTGTCCTTGGAGGAGCAGGTAATACACTGGAACAAAACACATTACTAGAATTCTTTGGGAAGCATCACAAGAACACCTACACTTATTGGGAAACCCTTCGGAAACATGGCTGGGAAAGGGAGTGATGTTCATCTGTTTAGAGTAGAGCAATAGCCGGTTGCTATAGGAATAAAAAATACTCACTGAAATGAAATACTATTGCAGTAGGATAGGTCAAAGCCACAGCAAAAGGGAGGTTATTCTGTAGAACTACTGAAGCATCTGAGGTCCTCATTCCCAAAAGAAGGGGGTGATAAATATTAAAAGTTAGCTTATTTAAAAACAGCGAAGAGATGAGTACAGGCCAGTTTGTTCATTACAGCTATTCCAGACATCTCGTAACTCAGTCCCATAGAAAACTGAGAGGTTGCTAGGTGGCTGTGCTCTATAACTGTTGCTTCATTTAAGCTCATTTAAGTTTTTTGTACATGTAGGGGTTTTTTTGGTTTTTTTTTCTCCTTTTTGGAGTCCACTTTCATGTTGGGAATCTATTAAAATACAGCAATGCACACAGCTGTTCCTATCCTCTCTACAATGTGCCACAACTAAATAAATTGAAGCAGTTATAGAGACATATTTATTTGATCTGTAACTAATTCCTTATTTGCTGAAAGAAAACTCAAAGTATGCTGAAATAATTGTCATGTACTGCAATCTACTGCAACAGTAAATATTTCTGGTTTTATTTACCCTTTCTTTGGTGAAGACTGAAATGGCATTTGTGAGAGTGAAGTAATGTTAAATCACTTTGTTAGGTACAGAAGTTGTCTTGGATCTTTGCTAGTCATGTTTGTCCTTCAGAAACTTCATTTATTGCTGAAGATTTAGTGCTGCAGCATAGCCTTTTGTCCAAATAGTTCATGTGAAGGTCTCCAGCTTACAATATTTTTCATTGTATTGAAATAAGTTATTAGGGAGCTAGTTTGTCTGCTTCAGATGTGCTGTTTTATGTTGATCAGATTAGTGCTAAAATGTAGTTTCTTTATTCTTCTTACAAATACGAGTTTCTGGATTTGTTACTGAATTTTATATTTTAATCCTAAAGAGATTTTTCTGAAAGGTGAAATAGTGATTTTGAAAAACATTCAAAATGTGGGTGGCATTTTCCCTGATACTAAGATTTGGCTTTGTGAAATTCATATCATGATGCCGAAGTCTGGGGTTTTTTGCCTGTGTAACAAAAGATGAAGTTTTGAAAAGTCGTCTTCGTATCTTTTTAGTCTTCCCCCCCATTAACAAAGTTTCAGCAACAGCCTGAATGTCAACTGAAAAGCTCCCAAGTTTTGCTGGAAAATTTCTGAGACAAATGAGTGAAACATGAAGAGGTGTCTACTGGGAATTCGCATTTCAGTTGAAGAATGATGTATGAATGTGTTGAAACCTTGACAAAGATGTGCTTTTTCTCAAATGTTCAGAGCCTAATAACAACCAAGTGTGTAATGTCTGTGGTGAAAGCTTTTTCATAGCTGCCTAACTTTTTGGTCCTTTTTTTATTTCATGTCCATACATAAATTACAGGCTAGGAGAAGGTAGGAGGTGTGGGAGGAGGAGTACCCCAATTCTGTGTGCTACAAGAAGCAGTAAAGTGCGTCTTTACTGTGCTGCTGAGTAAATCCTGCTTTTGGGCTCTTTGGAGGACATGCTGATTTGGAAGCAGCATTTTGGATACAAGTTGACTTTATGTGTTGAAGTGGTGTTTATATTTCATGGTTCTGCATGCAGCTAGTGTGGTTATCGCTGCTCTTATAGCATGGCTAATCTGTAATCTGTATTATTTATTCATGGATAACTT